GTAAAATCCTCGAAGAATTACCTTAAAAAAACATCAAATTCTTAACAATCCTATTTAACAAAATGTGATAAGACAAATATTTCCTAAAACAATGAAAAAGCTCTCAGATTATAACGTTATTAAAACTTGGTAAAGATCTTCACCGAGTTACATCGTATAGGCCTATATCGTTGCTACCGGTTGTGTCAAAGTTTCTAACAAAAAATCATACATAGAGGATTAAAATGAATTCATTTGTCTAATTAGACAAGGACAGAAAATATATGGCGCAGCAGCATTTCTCGGAATAGAGAAATAGAGTTTGGCACAAAAATTTAGTATTCGGAATAGCAAAAAGCTTTCTACCATCCTACTAGGTCATTTCCTTAAATCATACCCAACAAATAGAACGTGCTGTATACAAATAAAATACGAAATTTCAAATATCATCTTCCAGATAAACGTACTTACCAATCTCACGAGTGAAACAAACCTGTCAACATTCGCAGATGATACAACTATATCCTGGCTTATCACGAAGACGTAATAGCAGCTTCAAAAATACCCCAAAAATCTCTACTCAATGTGCAAGATTATTTCCAAAAATTGAAACTAAAGGTCAACGAAGAAAAATTTAATCGTGTATGTTCCGTCCCGGAGAGCGAGTTTATAACATAATTTTATTCTAAGGCTTACACTTTTGCCAGACCTAACGGTTTATTTTATATTTTATACCGCGACTGCAATTCCGGAGGTTCGATGTGCCTCAACGCCGTTCTAGCGGATTAAGCTTACAAAGGTAAAGCAAAATTAGGAATTTTACTAGTACCAGACGCGACAGATGGGACCCACTTGTGACAGACCCAACAAGCGACGGACGGACGGCACTTATAAATCACGTCATTGACCATCAGAAATCGGCTCCTTGACAGTTTCCTACTCCTTAGCCAAAGGTCCTTATGTCACACCCTCTGTCCAATTAAAACTCTTTACCTTTCCACCACCAACATCTATTTTACCCAATCAGAACTAAACTAGACAAAACTCCGGACCGAACACGACGAGACAGGACATACAGCAAAATCGAGAAGTTAGTTCGTCTTCGGCACCAATCCTTCAAACATCTAAATTGCACATACAAACGCGTGTTCGAAACGGTACTCCGTTAACGTCTACATTATAACTATTCTACGCTTTTCTGTAAATAAACACTCTCTTTGACCACACACATTCTGGATCCTTATTATCACAACTAGTCGCGCAATATTAATTTGGCGCGTGATAAGCGTTCTTGGAAATCGAAGAGATTCGATAACGTAGGACGCTACAGTGTAAGCAATTCGAAACAATGAGTACATAGTCGAAACAGAAGTAGTTAAATATACTTTGGCATACGTACGTAAACAACAAGCTAACGTAGAAATACGATACAACGCCAAAAAAATAGACAAAATAAAAATACAAAAGATCTGTCTATTGGCTGAGAGGAAGGCGCTCTCGGAAAAACGCCCGAAAATAAAATATAATATAATATAATAAAAAATAATATATAAAACTATCATCGAGGCGATGTGAACATATGGCATAGAGTTATAAACGAGTAAAAATAGTGGAAACGACACAGCCAATTATTATAGTTCGTACGATAGCCAACGCATCGTGGTACATCCGCATAGATCCGCAACAATGACCACGAAAGAAACTAAGAAAAGAAAGAAAAAAAGATAAAAAAGGAAATAAAACGATACTCGAAAAAATACGAGAGCCAATGAGATAATCATCCAACTGATTTACCACCGAAATTCTAACTAACAAGCTAACAGCATATCTAAATTGGATACGTTCTATTGAGAAAGTATCAACGTGTCAAACAAACGAAATATTCGAGAAAAATTCTTCAAATGTTTGCTATAACAAATTGTAAATTGTAAATGGAGTTGAACGAAAGAAAAGGTGTCATACAGAAATAGAATATATTGAGAATATATTTAGAAATTTAATAAAGAAAGACGTTGCTGAAACACAAGTATGCGAAATGAGAAATTTCCAGCAGAAACTCGGATATCAAATAGGTACCGATACAAAAAGATTTCAAATCTTATCAAATAAAATAAAACGTAGATACATTTAGCAGATAGAGAATAAAAAAAACTGACATGCAAACTAATTAGTATGCACCAAAGACATGGAGGTTAGATTGGAAAAATGAAAAGAGAGCTGAAAATTTCCTCTGGCAAACTTTTTCAAATAATCTAATTAAGTTTGAATTAATCAAAATTAGCGAATATGGAATGTTTCCATCTAATGATCTGCTAGCATGCAGAACATGAATGAACATTTCAATTCTTGCATATAGGCTTTGCTTTAGAACAGTATCGAAAGTCACTGCTGCATACTTGGCTGTTTGCACCGTTAAAAATGAATATCTACCATTCCTAAAAAAATTGTGAATACATTAAGAATTATTATTGATCCGCAGATAAAATAATTTCTCAAGAGAAGAGATACAAAACCTACGATACCTAAATAAATAGATTGGCATTCCAACGATAAAAATTAATCAAAGATAGAATTTTACGAAGGAATACAAGAATTCAGTGATCGATCTACCAACCCAGAATTGTAAACTATGAGTCAATATTTCTTTTATTTAGGTTTTTCGTTACGTAAAACTTTGAACATATTTTTTTTCCAAACATAATTTTTGAAAATAACTAAATGCATCAGTTGATTGTCTATGTACTCGTATCGATTCAAGACGAAACATTTTGAACGTTTGTTACAGTACAAATAAGCTAAAGAATATCTCGATAAGTATTCATTTCTCATATTCGTTTGTCCTCTATTCAATGGCTTCCATTCAAAACATCATATCGTAATAAAAAGTGAGAAAATAAATAAATGATTAATATATTGTATGCTCTTCCAGATAAAAAACAAATTTCATACAGTTGAAACACTCTTTTATACAGCAAACAAAAAAATTCAATTAGCAAACAAAATATATGTATTTTCGACTTTTTACTCCAGATTTACTCGGAAAATTAGATTTCTTAACATTCGAATAAAATTTCTCGCGGACTACTATGGAATGCAGCACATTGCGTATGTCGTTAATATTTGAATTAAATAAAAAGTTATGCAATTTTATATATATTTAAAAGATAAACGTATAATAAAATGTTGAAAACGACAGATTATAACCTCGTCTATTCTGTTGTAAAAAAAGTTACCCCTTTTTAACCTTCTAGATCAAATTAGATCTTTCTCTTAACAGACTTCTATTTGTACTGATATTGTATATTTTCATGAAAGATAATCTAAGCATTTGCGAATAAGTTCTTGAAAGACTAAAAATTCATTGCGCGATAATTATTGCAGGTGTAAGATCTTCTACAAGTCCGAACCAAAAATAAGGGCATATTCCAGAATTTTTTTCAAAGAAATCATGAAATTTTTTGTTTCAAGATTTTCACCGTATTATTTATTCGTGTTTCAAAAATACTCCGAATTTTTTTTTAACGCAAAATAGTGAAAATTGTAAAAATTTCTTTTCGAAATACGCCCTGTCCTTATCCAAAACGAAAAGATTAAAAAACATTTTAGTTCTATGACTTAATTAACGAAGAACAAAATTTTTTAATTTTTCAAAATAACAGCACTTTGAAGCTTAAATACCTATTTCCTCATGCTTTTTTTATGTTTCGTGTTTAGAACACTATGGAATATACAATTTTTCTATATTACTAACGAAGCAATTATAGCGAAAAACGAAAAAGAAAAAGACAGAAGGAACCGGATGAAACGTAACGCCATATTCAACGGAAAAAATACATGACTCGTATCTTTCTTGTCGACGCAAGGGAACATTCCAATTTTATTCAACTTGTAAAATATACAATAGGCTGTTAAAATGAATTTTGTGAAGCGATTACTTTACTACAAGTTAAATAATAATTGTACAAAAAGTATAGTATTAAAGTGATTCATATAATCACATAATCATATAGAGAAAATAAGTAAGGTTAGTAGAATAAATAGATGTGTGTTACACGAAATATTTCGATTGAATTTATTTAATATAATTTTGCGTTCTAACATTTTTAGTTGCAAAAAAAGTGCCTAACAAAGCGAAGCATGAGCAATTATCGGAAACTCTTTAATATACGAAGAAATAAAGCTAATATTAATTATGACAACATGGATTTTATTAGTATAACTAATATCACGGAACATTCAAATGAAAAAAAAAGAAATATGAAGTCACAAAAACAATGTAGAAAAACGATTAATCTCCTTCGCGTCATATTTAATGAATGAATCCCAATAACAAATAGTGAAACACTGCATATAATATTAAACTCAAACTGTACTGCAACTCTTAAAGAGGAAGATTTATGTACAGATTCTCCTTTATTTCCTGTTTTTATATTCTAATAACATTAATTTACAAAGTGTCTACTGATTAAAGTATACAATTAATTACACAGACGAAAAATTAATTTACAGAACAATCAAATCAAATTCGTATCTTAAAAACATATTTATATATATATATATCCAAGTTATAAAAAAGATAGCAATATGTATTTTTATTTATTAACACATTACTTACACCTTTTTGGATAAATAACTTTTGATGTAAGCAAATTTATCATTATCTGCAAAATTATTAAATTGCTCTTAATAAATATTTTTGAAAAGTCATATAATAATCTAAAAAACAAAGAGTTACAAGCTTAGTGATTGCATAGTACTCGTTAGATTTGATAAAAATTTCCAAAGCAACGTTCGTGTTAAAATGAATACTTACATACTATGGTTACTGTACAACAAATAGATAGAAACTATATAAAACATTTACTTGTATATTAACAGATCGATAGTTCGATAATACATATCGTAGTTATTAACAACTACCACCTTGGATAAATAAAAGCGTTCATGAGTTATAAAGCTAATTTAATATAGATTTATATATTAAATCGAAGTGATTTCTCTTATTTTATTAAATAGCGGACACTTTCGAAGTTTGTAACTCTTTCTTCTTTACACCCTGCGCATTAGAAATAACGTATTTATAAATTGTTTATAACGGAGTGACAACATCATGCATAGCATAGCGCCATGTCCATGCTCTCGCAATCTCATCAAACCTTTCACGATCGTTCATATACATCTCACCCAATTCCGGCTCCATACAGACCTGTATATTTTATATTCGTTAATATTTATCGCAATACTTTAAAAAATTTAAAAATTAACACGATATAGTTATAAATAAACAGTGGATGTTTACGCAAGTTCATAATGCTATAGAAAATAGATAAGGTTATAGAATCTAAACAGAAATTTGTGTTTTTATTAGGCAATTTTAAAAATATACACAATATATTTAATAATTATTAATAATTAAAGTATTAAATACGAATATCATTTTTATAAACACTAACATACGCATAAATATGTTAGATATATATTCCTTCGAGTTTTTCAAGTTTCAAATAAATTTGAAACTGTATTGAAAAAAATAAGTAACATTGATATATTATTTAAAATTAATAACAATTTAAACGATGCCTAATAGATAAAGAAAATTCTGGTATAAGATTGGTATAAATTGAAATATATCTTTGTAACTTTATATGACGCAGGAAGATCATTTTGGAAAATAGCTATTGTAACAGGCTACATTTTAAATTACAACGTATAAATCTTTTCGCGTATATCATGTATATATTTTGCACATATCCTGCATATTTATTACACGCAATTATACTATGCATAAGTACAGTGCATAAAAATCCACTGTATAATCAGAAGCATATGATTATTAACATTATGGTTCATATTAAATCAATATTATCCGTTATATTACCTGGCAATATGGATCCGTAAGTAAACTTTGGACACTGATCAACACCTTCGAAATTGTCAGTGCCAAAGACCAATTATGATGTATCGAGTCAATGCCAACATCACCGTGTCTAGACACATTTGGATGAAGTATTTTCGTGAGAAACCTTACGATTGGTGGATACAGAGGATAACTGCAAAAGATTAAAAGAAATGTGAAAAAAAAAAAAGAAAAATGTTTAATAAGGAAACACGTTGAATTGAGAAACACAGATTGCTGTGGAATTACATGTGTAATTCTCTGAAAAATCTCCGAAACGTTTTTGTCTTTTTTACCTACAATTTTGACCGTATGAAAATAGTGGAAGTAACCCTCAAAATTAGAAATTGAAAACATATTACATTGGATACCTTAAAAATTACTTAAATATAGAAATCATTTGTCTTTAATTGAAGAATTTCGTTGTACAAACAGAATTCATTTCAACAAATTTATTTATTTTTAAGTAAAATTCCATCCATAAACCGCAGGTAAATAAATACGAATAAATTGGAATTTTGAAAATAAAACTAAAGGCTAAAGGGAAGGGGAAAAACTAAAGCAATAATAATTAGAACTACAGCAATTAGAGCTGCCTAACTACTTTTTCTCATCTACTAAATAAGATCTCAGGCTATGAAGTTAAATTCGTCGAATCTGTTTCCCTTACTAATGAACTTTAAATTATTAATGATTAATGTTTCTTATAAAGTTTGCGATATTACTTGCGTTTTCCCATAACCCTACAACTGCAAGACGAATCCGAAAGAACCACAACTGTGAAATTGGTCAAGAATTAGGAATGACAGTTACGTATAATTTTATTAAACTTACAAATTGAAAATTATTTAAATTAATTATTATAACAAATTTATAACCCGTTATACCTGTTATCTTAATCACTGTATTATCCCACTTATTACCACTTCCACTTCTTGTTCTCTCTTGAGTAATTTCTAGCTTTCGAAATGAATTTTTTATAACAGTAAGATCAAATGAAAAATATTTCGAATAAAAGTTATTTGGTATGAAGAAAATTATCGTATAGTCATACCGGTTTTTTTATAAGCGAAGTCACACAGAAAATATTTCTCGTAATATGAAATTCTTTTGATAACTCACATCTCATCTCACATCTCGACCCTTAATTACTCCTAATGTTAACTCCTAAGCAACGTTTCTTGAATCTATTGAAATTATTATTTATTGGAATACAGTACCTGACATAATAATAGCTTGAAAATTGCGCGAAATTCAAGTCCGATTCTAGGAAATTTGAAAAAATTCTTTTAAGAAACTGCTAAGAAATCCCGAGTATTATGTTCCATTATCGTATACGAATGAGATAATAATCGAATATTATGTTATCGATGATAAAGTAATAAGCGCCTTGGGTATTCGTGTTTGTATACATACTTTGCAATTACACGAATAAGATTAGCGGCTCGCTTTCAGTTTGAAACCAGTTTTAGAAATTGATCGAAATAGCTGGCAATGAATTTCCAAGAAAAAGTTATTTACCCTTGAACTGTGATAAATCACCATATCCGAATACAGGATGGGCCAAAATAACCTTGGCTACCTTGAAAATCTGCTAGTTTAAAAATTATTTTTAAAAATATGAAAGAACTTTATGCAAACTTTGTGTAAAAATTGTACAGTATAGAATGATAGAGGGCGAGCTATAGCGTACATGTCATAATTTTCTTCTTTTTCTACGAGAAAAAGATTTCGATATACTTTTCTACTAGCAAAATTACCCGTAATAACTGCTTAGATGATTTCAGTGACTTCTGATGTAAAATCATTCGATAACAGACAACAGAGTAAAATTAAAGAGACTTATGTTACGAGCCATGTTGGAAATGATGGATCTTATCTACCGTTCGTAAGAACGGATTAATGGATATATACGATCTTACCTACGAACAGAATATAAACAAATGGTAACGAATACGTTTAATTGAACCGAACACTGTTCACATTTGACTGTTTTACCCCGTTATCTATTATCAAATGACCTTATATCTGTGTGTCTAAACACTCGTTATTTTATTAAAAACGAAAAAAGTACAGCATATCACTTGCTGAAATCTTTGAAATCCTTGAAAAATTCTTTCATTTGAAGAAAATTATACTGAAATATAATTATATGTAGTATAAACGTACTACACAAAGTTCTGCTATATACAAAGCATTTACACATTTTAAAAAAAGATGATCTATTCATATATTATTGATACACTCTACGCGTGGTAATATATTAGTGTACACCAATTGATCATTGCGTGTGAAAAAAAAAACAATTCACCATGACCACTGTTTTCACAGAATGCTAACAAAGTGCAATGAAATGTAAAATATCGTACATTAAATACGATATCCATACCGTTCTCAGACATTGTATCGAAGGTTTAAAAATATTTGCGATAAGTTGCGACAATTCGTTAATGTCAACTTTTGATTCTAGAGGTAACATAAAAGATAGCGGCGCGCGAATATACGGTGTAAAGTCATTAACAATCAAACTATTGCTCTTTATTTTATTCGGTAGTAAGTTAATAAGAATAGGAATGCGAGAATTATTTGGAGAACATTCATTGAAAGATATAATATACACTGACTAATTGACCTAATCAGTGTTAAGAAAACCAGGTAATTGAGTCGAATTAGATAATCGAACGGTTCAAGTTGTGACTGTCTTCCATACAAGAACTTATAATTTATTATGCTAAAAGGTTATTTCAGTAACTTTGCCATAACTCAACTTTTCTTCTATTTACTTTTTTTTTTTTAATTGGCCTTATCGAAGAATAACTGTTCGCAAACGTCATTGTTCACATTATTTTCACTAACATGTGCGCAGTTAATGCAAATAAAATGTTAATTAATGAACCAGTTTTACCAGTATTGAAATATTTTAGACGTTAGTAGTTGCGCGCATCATTATAGATCCTTGTAATATGAGTTTCAAATGGAATTCTATTTCGCGCCTCAATTTTGACGCGTTAATTTTTTATACACTTACCGACAAAAGATGAGAAACAACATAATCGCTTGGTAATTTGGGTATATCTTCGATATATGTTCTACGATACATAGGTTGAAACTAAAAATGACAATGAGTTCTTTTTCGAATATGCTTGTGCAAGGAGCACAATTAAATTGAACCGAGAAATGAGACAAAATCTGCGCGACATAAGTCAAGAAACATACAAAATGCTCGCAATACGTTGAGGTCATAATGTAAACAAACATATTCCGAAACACTTAGTTCTCTTTCTGACGTCGCTGAGTCTAGTTCATATTATAGTTTGTGTTAAATATGACAAGAAGGCAACATTTAACAGACGCTGAAAATCTGAAAGTAACTAAAATGTTTAAGAAGGGCAAGAAAAAAATTGACATAGCGAAAAAGTGTTTAACGTGAATCGTTGCATTATCACCAATTATCACCATTATAAAACGATTTGACGAATATGGAACTGTTAAAACAGCACCATGAACTGGCAGACTGCGAAAAACAACTGAAAATCTAGATCGTCGAAATGCAAGGATCTCCGAAGTCGAATCCATTTTACACGCTGCTTTTGAAATGAAAAATCAACCGGGTCTGGAAAACATTCATAGCAGAACAGTTAGCCGTCGTTTAGATGAAAATAATCTTTTTTCACGTAAAACATGCAAGAAACCACTTGTGTCGAAGAAAAATAGAACAGCTCGGTTGGAGTTTGCTAAACAGCACCTTAATTGAACTACTACCGAATGGTGAAAAATTCTATAGAGCAGCGAGGGTAAGTTCAACCTGTTAGGAAATAACTCTGATAACAATGTACGATGCTCTACTGAACAACGATTTCATGTTAAATACCTAAAACCGATAATAAAATTTGATCCATTAATACCAATAAAAGAAACAATTGATAGATTTGTGTATTGCGACAACTTACAAAATCATTTGCCACCATTTGCCAATGAAAAAATATTATCACGGTGGTCATTTCAACGCGATAACAACCCCAATCATTCTTCTAACTTAGTTAAGATGTTCCTTGCAGAACAAAATGTTAATGTAATCAAGTGGCCAAGTTAATCCCTGAACTTGAACCCAATTGAACATCTGTGAGTCAGATAATATGGTCAGAAATACCTGCTGAGCTTTGTGTTTGGTTAATTGAATCAATACCTCGCAGAAGCCATGCAGTCCTCAAATCCAAGGGTTGTCCAACATCTTATTAGACTGTTATGAAAATTGCAGATATCTGCATATCGTTGTTTTCATTCAAAATGCTTATACAAATTGAACAATATATGTTTCTTAACTTATTATGTCACGTAGTTTTTGTCTTATTTCTTCGATTCAATTTAATTCTGGCCCTTGCACAAGTATGTCCGAAAAAAAACTCATTATTTATCGATGTATGGAATGTTACTTTATGATGCTATCTTTAATTTTAACCCATGTATCTTAGCAGAAAGAATAGAGAATATACCGAATTCCCAAATGATTACGCTGTTTCTTAACTTTTGTCAGTAACTGTATATCTGTACCTTAGTACATTTACACAGAGTAATGTGCGAAAATTCGAAATAAATCGGATGAATATCCGGATGCATCTCCCATCTAGGATTTACACAAAATGTTTTTAAATTGGTTGCATTAGTCCTTCTTTTTAATACGAAAAGAAGAAAAAGAAACAGAGATTAAAATAAAATAGGAAAATGAAATTCTGATATATCTAACGATAAATTATATGGTTATAATGTGTAGATGGCAAAACACACTTGTAACGAATAATCATCGCAGTCCTGAAAATAAGTATCACTTTATTCATCTATATGTCATCTATTTAGTCATCTTTGTTCATCTATAATATCTAACATACGACATCAATCCGTAAAGTGTTTGCAATACATTTTTTACATTTGAAAAATATAAATACTAAATATCTAAAAAAAAGGTTAAAGGTCGATATTAAATCTATTTAACATTTATTATGATAACAACATAAAAATATATTAAGGATTCATTCTCTTTTGGTGTGCTATTTTACATAAAATTTGAAAGAAATTGATTATTTAAATGTAGAAATATCATGAAACCTAATTTCTAAAATATTTGAAAACGAATCCGAAAATATGATTTAAGGTTTACATGCTATTTTGTAGTAATATATAAGGTCATTTATAGCATTTATTTATTTTTGAATTATGTAATTATTTCCGAATCTATTATTCCTCTCGCGTAAGAAGAACTTATTTTTTCCTAAAACAATTACGCTTGCTGTTGATTTGCAGATCTATTTAATACCCTTTTTATTTCTTAATTAAACAAATATGTTTGTTCTCAAACAAATAAGAATTTCCGTTTCAAACTTGTTACATAGGATAGTACTAAATCTTTCGTTGAATACGCAAACTACTGAAACAGTTTCTACGGTTTCCTTTCTACCATGTATTTCCAATAAATTTTCTGCCGACAAGTCTGCATATATTAGTCAAATAATGGCCAAACCGTTTGAATTTAATGGTAATTTGCATAAGAAATTAATAAATTAGTACATCACAGTGGTACACTGATGTCTTAAAATCGCTATAACTATGTCATTTCATCATTTTATCAAATTGATATTGAAATTATGGGACACAAAATGTTATACTTAAAAAAAGAAATACAATTTTAAAATATTTCTTTTTTGACTTTTGCAGAGAATGTCCGTAATCTTTGGACAGTCGATACTCCTAGATCGAGCAATATAGGCTCCCGTATCAACCTCGTTACTTGTATCGCGATTTTTCAAAGTTCAAAGATTAAATTTTCAAAGACATAAATAAATAAAAAGATACAAAAGAAACATAAACATATAAAAATGTAATGAAAGCACAAATAAAATACAAACAGCTCATAAGTAGACAGTATTTATATGTATAATAAATTTTGTATTTATGCAAACTACTTTATAATACGAAATACAAAATACATACATGATTATGACAACCATCGTATGAAAAAGTCTATATTTGTTATTATTTCCAATGCATTTCAAGATTCATGGGTCGTCTAATCAGATGTAACACAAATAATTGTTGATTTCAACCATTCGTTTTGGGAATTGGGAGTTCGAGACCAGATACTTGAGACTATATTTTAAGATAGACTCAAGTACGACTGTCAAAGGACTAAAATTAGCAACCAAAATAAAAACCAACGTAAACATAGTTAAATCATGTTTTAACAGTACATGTGAAACATGCAACATAACTTTATCAGTAAAGAAAATAGTAATTTTAAGCTAAAACGACAAATTAATGTTGCATCGTATCGTGGATTTATTTGATTAAATTAGCATAAAAATTATGTCGCTTTTCTTTATAGAATTTTGAGTTTGTAAGGTTTTCATGAAAGTTTGATATAAACTAGATCTCGGAAAAAGTTTAAATACTTGCACAGCATGGATGAAAATCGTTAAATATTTGCTTCGATATCATTAACGTTGCACACAGCGAAATGATAGAAATAAAAAGATTCGTGGACGAGTTATAGAACGTATTGTGGGATAACGATAAAATTCCATTTTTTTAAATAATACACCAAAATTTGCAAAATTTTTACTAATTTCTCCAAAATCGCAAATAAATCAATATTCTAACTTTTCATAAATTAAAAATATAATTTTCAGGTTACACTTATTTTTCTCGTTAGTCAAATGTATACAATGTTTATTAAATAGTACGTATACTGTTGTAAGTCCTTAACATTTAGAGACTTTGAAATATATGAGGTTTAGTAGAAAGGGTAGTCTCTGTACAATAAATTGTATAAGACGCATAATTTTTAATAATTTCAAAACATAATAAATATAACGATTCCTTCTATACAAATATCTGTTAGAAAGTAAAACGGAATATTAATTTATAGAATGCCTCACAGAGTGGAATAAACTGTATCTTTAAAAGAGTTAGAAATGAAATAAAATATTCTGAAGCATAATCAAATGATATAAAAGGAAGTTTATAATTAATTTTAAGCCTCTCAATGCAACAGTGCATTTAAAAAGTGCAATTACATACTAATGAAATCTTTCGACTACGCTAATCACTGTAACTTTCTACCATTTACAAACACGTATCGAGATACATATGCTTTAAAATTATTTACAGTGGAAATTAATAGAGATAAAAAATCATTTTAGTATATCAATGGATGTCTTGGAAGATGCACGCTATGACAAATATTCCAATAATTCTTTACAGCACTCTAAACGATTCTTTTCTTCGTGACATTTGAATTAGATGACATATGAACTATCTCCTTTTCTATCGTATATTGTTCTATATTTCTTGCAAGACGCGTTGTCGAATACCTGCATATATAAAAGGTAAAATCTTTTTGCTTTTATCGATGTTCAAGACATTCAACGATGCATTTTACTAGAAATATAAAAAATTATATAAAAAACATAACTCGCATGATAAGTAATGTAAAGAAAAGAATGTGAAAACCCGTTTAAAATATAACGGTGTATAAATTAAGCATTTGTTATTGTGTAAATATCTCGTGACATTTGCGCTAATACATCAAAATAATTTAGCAAAATAATTTAGAGACTAATAATTCTGAAAATACGATATATAGACAATTTCCCATAGAGGATGAATTGCATTGACTAATCTAGAATTCCATTTAACGAAATCATATATTCATCCTTTATAAAAATGCATATTCCATTTTCCTTCGTGACAGTTTACATTATTTCGAATAGTTTGAAATATTCATTCTTCCCAGTAGAACGTATGCTCTACTATACGCTCAATTTTCTTTTCAATACCATACAAACGTCCTCGAAGAATAAAACGTGTAAAAAAGATTCGTGTAAGCACTGTATCTATGGAAAAATACAAGAAAATGCTGTAAATTCGTGATAGAATCATCATTTTTATTTTTTACGCGGTTTCTATTTCATAAAGAATATGACTGGAAAAATAAACTCATTTATCGTGTATGTATACCAAATGATAATATCCGTCTATCGTTTACTATTTACAGGCCTTTAAATACTTTTTATATAGTAACGTTCTCACCCTCGCCAATAGATGGATTCCTCGAACCTCCCATAAATACAAATTCCTATGCTACCTAAGTATTAACTAGTAGGTTTCCTGTCCCCCCGTTCTTCTTTCTACCTGGCCCCATATCATAGTATCATAGTACCAAGACAAGGGGATACCACCAACAGGCAACACGTAGGAACCAACAGGAACCACCCGAAGAAAAAGCATCCCCATACCGCGGGGGACCCCGACAATTTCATTTCTTATACTAAACTCAATTATTACTCATAGTATTATTACGACACATAAGCATATATACTTTAATTACGATCTAGGTCTTATTTTGTTGCTTAATATTCAATCTGTATTTTATTGACAATTGTTAATAATAAAAGTCCATGCTGGTATAATTATAATAAATAGTGAACACCTTGGAAGTTGGATTCATCAATACTGTAAAATATATTTACAAATAATCTATGTAGTGTTAAAAAATAAAAGTCACATTGCTTTGAATGTTTAAGAAGAAAAAAAATATGGGAAAGAATGGAAACAGTATTTTAATATAGAAAATGTGACTTGTACTGTTCATTTATTTATTTTAAACTAGCGAGCGTTCATTCCTTTAATCAAATATACGACAAGTAATTCTCAAAATTAGTCAAAATTTATACGTTATGATTAGATTTCCGTCATCGACTTTCAAATATTTCTTTCCGTAGATGTTTAATTATCATGATCCAATAATTTTTCAACGAAAGAAAAGAAATATATACATACCTGCAGGGTACTTGGAGGTAAAGGTAAAATAAACCTCCTTCATATGGACTTCCTACAGGCCCAGTTATCGTAGCTTGCCAATGACAACACATCTGATCTAAAGGTGTTGCTTCGATACCTTCGGGAGGATCTATTCTTAAGCTTTTCAGTTCGCTATGTAATCGATTTTTTCTCCATGAATTTTCTTGAATCCTTGGTGATCGTGACCTCAAACACGTTTGTGCTAAACATGTTCTACAAGGTGCCGAAGAAGCCAATAGATCGTATACTTTATACCAATTTTTAACATTTCCAATAGGTTTGTACAAAGGCCATCGTAGTTTGACATTTTGTTGCCATTGCTGGGGCGTTACATGCGTAGATAATAAACCGCACCATCTGCGGCAAACATTTGCAGCTGACCAAAGACTAACGTCATCTAAATGCGAGAAAACAACTAACAACACTTCAGGTGGTAATCGTTCCATTAAACCTGGTTCAGAAATTGATTCGTATTCGGCATGTTTATAATTTGTTAACATCTCTAATCGCTCTGATAAGTTATACGATCTTGACATTTCTCCCACATTATTTTGAACTTTGTAATTCCATTGATAATGCGAGCAACTTTCTAGGTCCTTAACTTCCTGGAACGGAACTGTGTTATGTAATTCTCCATCTGCCGTACATTCCGTACTAAAATTAGAAACGTTTTCTTTATGATTTTCCTTATGAGTATCGTTATTTCCATTATTCACATTTTGTAAACTCTCCAAATGTATATTGTGAGGAAGCTGAGCATTTTGTGATACAACTGTTGTATTTTTACAACTATTTGTATTGATACCATGGTGTACTTTCTGCATAAGTAATATACTTTCATTTTTCAAAGTAGAACACTGAGGTATGTGACAATTTAAATTAGGAATATTTGCTACGTTTGATACATTTGACGTTGCATTTTGTGGAGAATTTTGTTGTTGTTGGCTGGCTCTTCTTTCATGGTTGTAATAGAGCTCTGTTGGCTCATCATTTCCCGAATCTTCATCGTCTGTTTTCTAAATAAACGGATTAAAAAGTATTAATACACGTATACATAGACATAAACTTCAAATTTAATTATTATAAGAACAAATCTTTATTAAATATTGTCCACTTTTCTTTATCACATTTTTGCTGTCTTGTTTTATTATTCTATTCCCAAAAAGTTTATCTTCGTCTTTTTGCCTTTTTAAACAAACATTTCCAAAACCTTTTTTATTAAAATAGTTTCATAGATGTTTAAATAAATGAAAATTTAATGATGTTATATCAAGGGAATACGTGGATTGCCTAATGATTAGTAAAACTATTTCATGTCCCGATGAAACAAACACAAACACCTTTTCTGCCAATCAATTTCGCATAATTTTCACTAATTCGCTAAAATTTTCATATTGTACAAGTATTTGCAATATTTCTCGGAATTAATAGTTTGACTATTTATACAAAGTTCATGACATATGATACTCTTTCAATTCCGTCATATATTTTATTCTTCAAATGACAAAAACCTTTCTTTCGTTCTTTCGTAATATTTTTGTCCGATTTATATTTCATTCTTACCCTCCCTTTCGACAATGATATTACACGATGTGCCGAAAATGCATCTTGTTTCCTTTTATTTTAAATTTATATCCTACATGACGAATGTAACTAATTCTAATGATTTTGTATCGAGATATCAATTGTCATAAATATCACGTTAAAAAAGAACGTTTTGGCCAATACTTTATATCTACTAATGCGAGACAGATTATTGAACGTTTACTGGAAATTAGTTACACAAATGAATACTCGTATGAATGCAAATTAACGCTAAAAGTAGAGTACCGATGCAACAGATTAAGAAATAAGGCAACAAAGATAATAATTAATAGAATATTTCATATGAAAATTTAAAAAAGACTCAAAACGATAAACTATTATTTTTATTAAAACTATAACGTTATAGGGTAATTAGCACTAAACCTACCATGACCGGTCGTTTAGTCAGTTATGGTAAATAAAACTGGCTGCATAAGAATCTCAGAGGAAGTAGAACAAGAAAAAGAATGTATGTATATACCGAAACATTGATTATAGGTATGTTGCAAGAAACATCATAAAAAATACAAGTTTAATGAAAAATTAAAAATCAGTCATTTAGATCGTGATAGATTTAGCATTAAAAGATAATATTTTTATTGTAAAAACACAATGGTGAAAAAATATCAATGACTATTAAATTAATTCAAAAGAGAAAACATATAAAGTAAAAAAAAATTGCGAGAACTATTATTTAGTTGTTATTTTTACTGGCTGATTCAAATTTGATTAAATAAAAAGTTTAAATAAGTTAATGATTTTAATACTGGTCAATTAATAAAAATTTATTAAATAGTCAATAAAAGTGATATTAGAAATATCTTAAAACATAAAAATAAATAACATAAAATTTGTTAAATTAATAAAATTAAATAACACAAACATAATGAAACTTGATGTGAATTTCGAATTTTAACAAGTAATAACGACAGTTTATTAATCTATTAATTAACAGAAAATATAAAATCAGTGAAAAATTCACATAATTAATTACAAGTTTTTCCTTTAACATTAAAAGTTAATTAGTTTACGATGTTCTAATAGATCGCAATTCCTATTTATTTAACATTCTAAAAATATTACTTCAAATTAATGAATTACGTAAAAATGGAATTTCTGTGTGACATTTGAAATATCAAATAAGTATATTTTTATAAAATATGACTAAAGTATCTAATATCTCTTATATTTGCAAGTAACATAGTATTAAGCAACATTTATGTATAATAATAATTCATTAGAAAATAGAATCGAATGAAAATGAAGTTTTGAATTTAAATTTATACATTTAATAATATCGATTGCAATAAAAATCAACAATAAATATTTTTAAATCCAGTGTAACAAGTACTAGTCCTAATTATTCTAAATTAAAGAAAAGAGCTAGGAATACCATATGTGTAATACCATATCGTATGATATAATATTTATAACATAATCGCATGATATTAGAATAAATAAAGTTATGCAATACACACTACACACTAAACATACATATAAAGCGACATACTTCACTGAAAATAGGAACCTGTAAAAGACCAATGTCATTGGGAAACAAAAATGCATGACATGTTGGACAAACAGGTTCTTCAAAACATGGCCCATAGTATCCATTGCAAAAGCAGCAAGTTATCGTCTAAAACAGAAATATAAATAAGACATTTGTATATAATATAACACGAGATTTCATCTTAACTTCTCTAGCCTATTAAATGTTTTACGATATATTCTAATTCTATACAATTCAAATTAATATTTTTAGATGAGTTTGACGAAACTGAAACTTTTCAGACTAAAGTTAAACTTAGTTATTAGTAATTAAGTTAGTACCGAATGTACTAATATGTATACTGGAATGTACTGACGGAGTTTGTAAAAATGATCTTAAAATTCTTCACCGAGCCTAGAAAATTGAATGGACTGAACCATAAGATAATATAATTTGAATTTCTACAATTGATTGATCCAAATAGTCTCCTAACTGAACCTTTATTGTTGCGATATCGAATGTTCCGAAAGAACTAAAATTTATTAATCTGAAAAATGTTTCTAACGAGCTTGTTCCTTTCCCGCTGCAATAGTTAATGCTCACTGACAAATCCCTCGAGGTATCGAATTGGTTGATTTGAAAACAATATGCAATCGACAGATCTGCAAGTGATCGCTATTCCGATAAATATCCTGCAGATTTTCATAATCGATTTCAAAGTTTTAGTCAATTTTATAGCAAGGACATGTATTACTATATTCTATCTGAAGTGTCACTTTACCTAACTACTAAAAAAGATATTACCTTCTACAAATTGTTTTCTTTAACTTAAACAATTTCAAATAATTGTCTCTTATAATGATGCATAAAGAACTTGGTAATCCGAAATATTTTATATGTATATTTATTATACATATACATATTTATATTCATTACGCAAAATATTCTACATATATATCTCGTTATTAAGCTGAAAAATATGTCGTCCTAGTTCTCTTAAACAACATGTCAAAATATTATTTCGAGATCCTTGTGGTGATGCACGGATCTGTTACCACGATATTTCAACTATATCTAACAGTTTAATCAACAAATGTCTTAAACAAAAATGTGGTTCTATTAAATGAAGAATTTACAGATGAAAGAAGGAAATATGATAAGTAGATAGTATTTTTAGATAGATATTTTTTTCGATAGATAAATAGTAGAGTAGTAATAGTAGTAGTGAAAATATTTGCAGATTACTGCTCGTCGCTACTAGAAAACTATGATTTTCATAGAACAATAAATTCTACGTTTAATTTTAATTCCACGGATTAGAGATCAAATTAGATATATCTCTAATTGTAAAACACATAAATTCGATTTATGCTTATCTTAATTTGCCCTGAAAACTTATATTATGCAAATTATGTCCATCTAATTTCATTTCGTCTGAAACGAAATCAGAAATAGTATACGTTGTTCTTGCAGGATTGCAGTGTTCAAATTGCATCCGTATTTCTGCAACATAACTTCTACTACCTTTGATAAATTTCAATATGTAACTTGAACCAAAGAATGACTTTGTACATTTCTGTTTTCATTCTTAAAACCGTGTATGTTATTAATTAATATTTCGTGAACTATCGATTACTAATATTTCTATATAAAGGTAGAAACCCAATATGAATTTACGTCTAATGAACAAACAGAAAATGGATTTATTTGTTTTGAGAATATCAGTATTACGTATACTACCTATAGATAACAATAAAAAATAAGATAGTAGACAACGGTATAAAAAATCATATTATTGTAATGACAGATACTTAAAATAAAATATGTCGTTGCATTGCTAAATTACTCTTTCTTTGGAATTTAAGAATATGATGCTATCGAAAATATACAAAATAGTTCAAACTTTTTATGAAAAAATAATACTTTATAAACTTCTTTTTTCACTTGTAAATTCTTCATTTAATACTAATATATTTTTATTTTAGACATTCTTTTATAAATCTTGGAAACATGTCCTATTTTCACAATGTATTTACTTATTGTTAGAATTTTCAAAAAATCCAACGACTTTTCGCTAAAATGAAGTATTACATAAAAAGTAAGAACGTTAGAAAGTTTATTTTGGTTTTGGTTAGTTTATCAATGTTCACAATTATAATTATTTGTGCTTCTGAATAATTCGAATTTTCGTCGTGAAAATTTTCAAATAACCTTTCTGCGCATTATTCTTGCATTTTTACAAAAAGTTTTTTATTACACAAATTTGCTATCCGGTATCATATTCTGCAAATAACACGTATAAACAAATCTTTTTTATTGATTTCTTTTTACACGCATTTTCCTCTATAGAAACTTTTACACTTTACACCTTTAAACATTTTTTTCTCCTATTTTTACACTTTGGTAACAGTTCTTTTTAAGGGGATTTTTCTCAATCTGACTGCGTACAGTTGGCCGCATAAGTGTTCGTCCACCTATCGCAGTCGGTATATGTATAGGGAAAAGAAAGGAAAGGTACACGTACACTGGAAATAAAAAATATAGAAATTAATCTTTATTAATACAAAACAAACTGTCATTCTGTGAAATTCGTAGTCACTGTACATAATGAAAAATTAAACAAAATATTAGAATTTATAGGAAAATTTGAACGCAAAAGTGTCCGTCCATAGATGTTATGTTAAATAAAATGCACGCAAACGAACATAATAAAGTATAAAACAACTGAATGATGAAACAAGTGAATGTGTAATGTGTAATGTGTAATGCGGTCTACTGTGTTTCTTGAACTTCTGACAGTTCGCTTGAGATTGTCAGGTAGAAAGTAGCAAAATGAAGCATGAGAAAAGTGAGACATCTTTATACGAATGATTTAATATTTAATATTATTTAATTTATTATTTAATATTATTTGGTTTATTGTAAAATTGTGGAAAGAAGGAAAATTCGAAAGAAAAATTGCAAATATAATGAAAGGACCTCGAATACAATATATATTGAAAAAGTTTAAGCAAGACGAAAAGTGGCAACTAATCGCGATGAAACGCACATACTGAGAGCTATCAAGCAGTCCTCGTGTCTCTACAGCTGAAATACACAAGGTACTGTCTCCGTTGGGGAAACGTAAGTCTGGATACAGTTCGACGAATATTTCACAGAGCCAACTTACAGAGTCGAGTTAGCCGTAAAAAGCCATTCATTAATGCAGTAAATGGGAAAAGGGGACTACACTTCACGTGAAACTACGTTTCTAAATCACATGATTTTTTGGAAACGCGTCATTTTTACCGATGATTCGAAATTTTCTATTCTTCATGCATCTAAAAGAAAAGTTTGGAGGAAATAAAATACAGAATATCAAAAAGAAAATTCATGGTATGGGGTTGTATGTCAACAGCTAGGGTTGCTGATTATCACATTATAGATGGGATCATAGATCAGTAGATGTGTATAAATAGTAATTTTATGTTTCAACAAGATAATGACCTGAAGCATAAAAGTCAGAATCGTTATGTAATGGATACTGTATAATACACCACATTACTTGCAAACACCACACCAATCGCCAGATATAAGCCTTTATAATAAAATATGTAATTGAGCACTTATGAGCAAAATAGAAAGAAATTTGCGTGAATCGCCACCTAAACATTGCGAAGAATTGAAGCAACGATTTATAGAAAAATGGCAAAAAATATTGTCAGATTTTACAAACAAATTAGTAAAATCAATCTCCAAGCGTTTAGAAGCTATAATTAGGTCTAAGAGGTGTTCCACTAAATATTGAACTGATAACTTCAGTTTTATGTAATAATAACTCAATTGATTTGTAAGCGAACGAATACTTTTGCGTTCAAATTTTTCGATGCATTGTGTTAGTTTCTTTAATATTTCACTATGTATAACGAATAATTACGAATCTCACAAAATGTCAACTTACCTTGTATAAATAAAGGTTAATTTCTATACGTTTTATTTAAATTTTACGTGTATCTTTTCTTTCTTTTCCCTATACGTACACCGATTCAGTGTACATGGACGAAAACTTATGCGGCCGCCTATATATCTTTTATTAGCTGCGTGGTTAGTGACGTAGAGAAGGAACGGCAACGTCTATAGGCCCTACTCTTATCAGGTTGTAACATGAACAATTGACTGCGTGGAGAATTCCGTCTCCAGCTAGTAGCATTCAAAAGAATAGATCGGTCAAATGTGTCTTCATTTTATGAATTATTTTATGAATTATGATAATACGAAGCATATTATCTTGGCCACTGGAAGCTGCGGGCAGAAAACTCAATAAACAAAAACAATCATTACCGAATGAATCGTGAAAGAAGTCAAGATGTTATAATATATATGAGTAGGTAACGGTATAAATATAGTATGAAATGTGCCGCCAAATGTTCTTGATTTATTTAGAAAAAACATGCAATAAAACATAATAATATTGTATGAACCCAGTGCACATAAATAACAAATATATTTATAAAATTTTACATTTTTTAAACAAACTCTTCTCCTCCCCATATTATAAATATTATTAGATAATATTCTGCACCAAAAAATTAGGTGCAAAGCCGACCCGGTGTCAGCTCGCCGCATTGTTCATCTACGGTAAGCTATTTCACAAAGTGGTGGGAATAGTGAAGTAAGAGTGGGGGTCTCAAGCATGCGTGTTAGTGGAATATCGGTGTGAGATCTCGAGAGACCCAGTTACTATTTCGCGAGGGACCGTACTCCCAAAGTTTAGTATAAGTACCGATGTCAAATTTTTTTCATATTTCTTCCCTAAAATCATTATAAATAATTTTCTTTAAATTTAATCGGTGTTTTAACTTATCTTTCGGATTTTTCTGTTTATTTCGTGTATTTCGTTTATTCGATTGAATTTGTCCACACAATTTGTATCATTATAATATATATTATATTATATATACATTAATATATCAGTCAATCAAAATCATTGGATATGTTATTATAATATATGATTTATATACCTTCAAACTTTCTTTATACTATAATACATGTTCAGGCATAATAATTAAAAAATAAATATAAAACTCTAATATCTTCTCATTTTATGATAGATAATCCAATTAACTTAGATAATCCAGTATAACTTGTAATCCAGTTATAATCTCCAAATCCCATTTTTTCACTTTCTTTAAAGTAGGAAATTTTTACACATAAAGTTGACTGTTCTGCTCATACAAGTATTTTTTGATTTAGGTTATTTATCAATGTTAGAATAGTAAAATAATTATAAAAAAATTATATAATTTATATAATTTTTATGTTTAATTTCTTCAATCATCGATTTAACGATATTTTCTTCCAGATGCTTTTCAATCTCTGTTTATGTACATTTGAAATTTCCACGTTCACTTTTATCATTTTAATATTCATATCTATCCTTAAATTTTGAAATCGTCGATTGTCAATATTTTATGTGAATTAAAATCTTTTTCTAGATTTTCTGATAAATAAATAAATTGAAAAATAAATAATTTAAACTCAAAAAGTTTATTATCATTTTGATTTATTATTTGAAAACTATAAGCATTGATAGTTCAGCTTATAATTGTTGTTTAAATAAAATGAAAATCTTCACAGCTCTGTATATGTTTTACACCCAGTATATTCGATTCAAGTTTACTATTTTAATAGTAGCAGGTTTAAAAGATTTTTCAATGCTTAATTCATTTTATTGTACATACAAATTTGTTTCATAAACTATTTTTTCAAGAATTTTCTAAAAAATACAAATTTGAAACAAGATTAGGAAATAATTTTTCTTATCTGTTTAAATTAGAAAAATCATATAGTCTCTTTCAGAAAGAAATTTTGGAATCTTCATAAGTTATTCAGTTCTTGATAAAAGGTTAGATTACATTACTCTTTATTTCACTTTCTATAAATTCTATATTTATTATTAATTAAAATTGAAACTTGATCAGATACTGAATTTCCATTTATATCTAAATATTCATTAATAAAGTTTGAATTGCTAGTCAGCAAATAATTATAGATCTACCGCTAGAAGCAACAGTTACACTGAGTAACTCAAAAAGCTCTTTTTCAATCAAATATCTTTTACAGTTTGTAGAAAACCTGTTTGATGTATGGTGATACATATTTTAGACTTTTCAAATAAAATACAATATTAAGGAGTAGTTTTGTACAAAAGTACAATAGTAACATGTTAAAAAAGTATACAATTAGAAAATGAATAATCTCTAAGCATTGAACCTTGATGACAGAAGCAGAGATAATAAAGGAATATTTTCAAATTCTATTGATTCATAAAATATACAATATCCCAATATTGAAATGAATCTTATTAAATAATATAATTTTTATATTATCATACGACAAATGATACAGAAAGTGTATGATCATACCAACGTTAACTGAAGATTTACTGTACTGGATGATTATATGTGACATACCACTGAATTCATCTTGACAAATAATGTTGTACTGTAAATAAGAAATTAAATATATTTTGAAATCTCTCGAATAATTTCACATACAAAAATAACATTTTTCCCATATACTTCTTGTATATCAAATAACTCATAATTTTCCTATATTTTCCATGGCCTACAAATATTTTGTGTTTCTAATTAAAAGAAACCCATTATACAGAATATCCCTGGAAGATATATATAAACAAGCATCAGGTAATTCCTCGTAGAAAAACATGAACAAAATATAGAATACTTTTTCTTTCTATAGGGCTTGATTTTTGAGAAAATCAAATTTGGAAATTTTGAACTCTTTGTAATTAAGCAAACACAATTCTGTACACAACAACAAGGATGATAGTCATTTTAGTCATTCTGTAATTGAAATAATAAAGTATCCTTGTTAAATATTTTTTTGTTCTTTTCTAATACTCCATAAATATTATTTATAAACATGATAGGCGATTTGCGTCGCTTAACAAATCGTATTTTAGTCATAAATACATATCTGCAAAGCAAATTTTTAAATTCGATTTTCTCAAAAGCTAAAAACTATGCTCCAAACCAGAAAGAAGTAGTCCTATGTTTTTAAAAAATCTTTTCATGAAGAACTACATAGTATCCAGATGTATATATCTTTTAAGGGCACCCTAGAAAATAAAATTATTTTTTTGTAACTGCAGTCACTGTTTTAATAAAAACAATACAGTAAGAACAAAATTTTTTTTTTAAACAATTTTTTTATTAAATCCATTAAGCATCGCAACTTTTCCTATTCCTATTTTTTCTTCTATCCTATCAGGGAATAAAAACATTATTACATGTTGAAATTAAAAAAAAATACTTCGTAATGTAAATCACAATCGCAGCTGACACAATTATGAAATTAAAATTTAGATATTCTTATAGAAATAATGTATTCTATTTATCTGTAAGTTTAAATATTTTAAAATCATTATTATTATACTTGAAACATTTTCTTTATAGACATTTTTTAATTCATACTTTAGGTTAAAGTAAAATACATACAATATTAAATTTAATAATACTAAATTTTGTAAACCAAATAAAATAAAATAATAAATAATAAAATGACAACACATCTCATAGTTTTCAGTATTTCATAAATAACTTCAAAGTAGGATATCTCAACAAAAAGAATTATACACATAATTACAAATCAAATTGAATCTTATAAGATATAATTAATAATAAAGGATGTTATAGATAAAAATTACTATTTTTAGAATATTGTTGTAAATGTAGGATTTTTTTATTTATTTTTCTTTTTTTTACTTATTTTTTTTAGTTATTTTTTATTTATTTATCTTTTAGACTTACTATAATAGGCAAATTTTGTATACAATTTTACTTATTTATATTTACAAATTTAGTATACAAAAATTGAAAATAATATTGTCATATTTCTATTTTTTACACAAACAGGTTAAATTTATGGAAAAAGTATAAATCACGATTGATCCTTTTTTTCGTTTTAAATGAAGACATATGTAAAATTTGTATAAATTGTATCAATGTAAAGAAACATTGAAAATTATACGGTGTATATATGAGTTTGTTTTATACTCTAGTATTTTTTTATCATTTTGTACATTCTTTATTATTTTTTTACTTAGTTATGAAATATCAAATAACATTTCTTGTATTAGAACATTTGTTACGCTTAAACGTAGTTTTATGAAAATTTTAATCGTATTAAATTTGTTTCATTTAACAAGTTGTAAAAGATATAAAATATTTTTAATTATTTAGCAACTAAAAATTTTATCCAATGTGCCAGTTTCATTTACATTTTAATTGAATAATATATTTCAATAAAAGATATTAAAAACCATATTTAATGAAGAATTGTGTAATATTGCATATATAATTTATATGTATTTCTTTGAAAATGAATTGTCTTTCAGTACTGAAAGTTTAACTTAAATGTAACATTCAAATTCATAGAATCTTAATCATGCTAAAAAATATGTCAATATTCTACTGAATATTAAACTAAGAAATTTATTCTATATAAAATTAATTGACATAATAACTTTAAATAATTTTGTTAACTAATGTATGTTATTGTTTTTATTTCTTTTACATTATTATACAAACAAAAGTGCATTATATTATTCAAAAAAAGTTATTACTTTCAAATGTTTAAAAGGCTTCAGTTAAATCTTACTTAAAATAGTTTCTGATATAATTAACACATTAAAATTTATATTCATTGATAATTCATTTATAGAATAATATACCCTAGATAGTAAAAAAATTCATGTATGAAATCTTTTTGAGGAATATTGACAAATAAATTTGGTTTTGAGCATAAAAGATATACCTAAATAAACATCAATATATTTTTAGGATTTTATGATTAGTCCTGACATGACACTACATAATATTTTTAAAAGATAAAGCTATGAAAGAAAAATTAATTATTCAGTTAAAGCAAATATGTGTAATAATTGAAATATAAAAAATATATTGTTTACAAATAATTAACTAATAATAATAGCATAATTACATACAAAATATATGTAAATATCAAATATTTTAAAAATATTAATGTTTGATAAATATCATAAGAAATGGTTTAGTACAATATAAATTAGTTATATAAATTAATTCTTTGTTGCTTATATTTACTAAAACTACTTAAATTTTCTGCAGTGCTTAATATGTAAGAATAATAATAAAACTAAATTAAAATGAAATACGTATTTCCATCATTTAGTGTAAAGTTTAAGTAAGTTATTATTAAAAATTTATTTAAAACTGAAGCTGAAAACATTTTATTATGACGTTGCACAATGTAAATACAAATATAGAAATCTAAATGCATTAATTTAAAATTTATGAGACTTACCGAAAAATGAAATTCAGGACAAGGTACATACTCAATGGGTTCTATAAATTCATCTTCTAAGTTCAAATTATCATTATAAGTACCTTCTTGATGTACTTTTTCTTTGCTTATATGCGAAGAACCACCTACTACTTTGTCGCCAGCCATTTTTAAATCATAACAAATGCAATGTTTTTCTGCAGAAATGTACTAGGTTATCCAAGGTAAATATTTACGTTATTTATCTTTATTGTATAATTTTATATTTCTAATGTATATAATTGTTCTGTCTTCAAACATAAGTAAATGTTAAATGTGATGGACCTTATTCTAACAAAACTTGTAACATTATAGATATAAGAACAGTGAAATAACTATAGCTTTGGCTATCTTAGTATCTAGAAGGACAATCGAATGATACATTTTACATCTACGTGAATTAATAATTTTTCATACAGTTTACATTCTTTCATTTACTTATTATTTAATTTACTTTATAGATAATATTATGAAGAAATTCGCATTATTTTCCTAAATAAACTTTATCATATAGTTTTATTTGCTATATAAAGTAAACAATTCTACATATTTATAGATTATTATTATAACTATAATTTACATGTATATCTTTTAAAAAATTAGAATTTATTAAAATTCAAATGGCAAAACAGTAATTATTACTAAAAAAAGAAAAAGAAAAAATAATTATTGTTACATTTAATTATTTTAATAACATCATATCATTTTCTTTTGTCAGTATTAAAAGAAATTATTCAAGTTTATTCGTTTTCTATTTTATATAATATATCCATGTAATGTGTTTATATAACGGTAATAATCATATTTAAAAATATAGATTTCAATTCAGAATAAAGGAAACATAATTAATATTTTAACAAATATACAAATTAATATGAATTTTATAAAAAATTTACATTTGGAAATTAAATCAATTAATTATAAATATTTTAAACCAAAGAAATAAAGTACATTTAAAAATTGTATTCTTATTAATATTTACATTATTCCATCATGCGTATTTGAAATATTTTCATGCAATAAAATACTTTCATTATATTTTTCATATTAGATATTACAAAGTTTTATTTGAAAGAATTACTTCAAAAGGTTATAAATAGCGAATAACTTTTTTCCTTTTTAATTTTAGGCATTATTCATTTTTCTTTCACTATCTATAACTAATGTTGTATTTTTTCATTTACATTAATTTCTATAAATATACACTCTGTATTCTTTTGAATCTGTAATGATTTTATAACTACAAGTATATTTCCTTAAATTTGGACTATTCAATAAAATTTTTATTTGATTATATTCTTCTTAATATTAAATTCACAAATCACTTATGATTGACAACTTAAAGGTTTATTCGTGATTGGTGCAATGTTTTCATTGGTTGGATACTCTACTTTTGTCATGTGATCGTTCCCTATTTATGTTAATATCAGTGATACTGTCTCGAAATCTTGTGGCAAAACAATAACAAACTGTGTTTTACGATTGGATTGTACGATTTTTTTGGTGCGTAACCAAAGAGAGTAGTGCAAGAAAAAATAATAATACATATTTTTTGTTCATAATATTTTTTGTTAAAGTTATAAAAAGGTTGAATTTACCAAAGATTAAACTCAGGAAACTTTTTTAAGCCAATGTTGTTGGCTAGGAAAAATATTTGCTGACGAAAGTCATGGTCGTTTCATTTGAGGGTGGTGAATGTACTATGTAATTGTTTAGATTAAAGAGTGTTATTAATTTACAATATCACAAAGTATGCAAATGGATGAATCCTCATATTAGATTTCATTATTTGTCTGAACGAAAAATTCAATCTGTAAGCATATACGGGTTCTAATTTATTTTTTTCTTTGAATTTTACAAATTGAACTATTAGGAATATTTTATTTGTTTAAAAATTAAAAATTAAAAATTTATATTTTTACGTATCATACAGAACATTTAAGAAAAGGAGCAAACTGGTAAGTTTTTTGTATTACGTATTAAAGTGCTTTTTTTTTTTTAATAAATCTTAATGAAGTTTTAGTTGTCAATTTTGTTAATTTTAAGATTTATTAATGGGAGAATCTGGATATATAGAGCTATTTACGGAAATTAAAACTAGCCCAATGGATGGAATAGTAAAGGAAGAACCAAGTCAAGAAATGGGTCCATCTTCAGCATCAGTGCCAATTCCAGGTGGACACAGAAGTGCTAGAGGCGTCTATGAACAATTTTCGCCATCTCCATTGACATCAATGTGGCCCAATAGATCAGATCATATACAATCATCGTTTAAGGTTGACTCTGATCATTTGGATGATTTTTTTAAAATAGAAAAATGGGAAGATGATGACATATTACAAGTAGATAAAGCAGATCTTATTCAAGGTCCTACGCTTGCTGAATTAAATGCAAATGATGAAACCCTTCTTGGTGATTTAAATTTTGATGATTTACTTTTGCCAGAAGAAAGAGTTCAACCATTTAAAATGGAAGTAAATGTACCTCAATCGGTTGGGCCACTATTTCATGATAACAATGTTGGATTTGCTCCAAGTAGTTTTCCACAATCTGGATCAATATATCGTAACATTTGTCCTACATATATAAACGCACATGGATTCAATATAAATATACATATCAATTCTGGTGACAATGTGGAAACAATTACTCCTAATGCTTTTTCAAGTCCAGGAACCAGTAACATTGCAGGTTTATATATAATTTTACTTCGCATTTTTATAAAAGTTTATTATTATTATTACTTTGGCAGTTAATTATCTGCCAAATTGACTTTTTACTATATTTTGTTTATATTACATAAATCGTCTATGCTATGTTGAAATTAACAATTTTACGTGTAATATTTTTTGTAATATTTATACATCTCGAAACATTATTGATACAAATAACTATAAAATTTAGATAAAATTTTCTTTATTTATATAAAATTTATATGAAATTTGCATAAAGCTTTTATTTAAAAGCTATATAAAGCTAAAATATTATCATGGATATTTGTGAATTAACATAATTTTATGAAATACCTTATATTATATTTACTAATAAGAGTATTAATGAATAAACATGGTTAATAAATGGCAGGGAAAATATTAAACTATATAATTTTGGATGTGATATAATTAAAAATAAGATTGAAACATTTTTAATATTTGACAAAAAATATTATATGTGATAAAAATTAATATATTTTAAGCCATCAACAATTTTTAAGCATTAATAATTAAAAAATCACTTTTGTGAAATCTGTATATCATTTTTATATCATTTATGTCTTTTAAAACATTTTTATCTTGTTCATATTTTTTATAAGTTAATATTTATGTATTGCTATAAACAAAATATTTTTAAGAAATAATTTAGAAATAATTTCTAAAATAATTGTTTTAAAGGTAGTTCAACTGCAAGTTCTTCAACATCTCCACATCCTATAAATAAACCTAATGGACAATCTGCTCTTCATGAATTATTGATGAGACGACGTGAAAATTCTTTTGATAATTCCACCCATTGCCAGATGGATGTTGAGTGCACAAATAATAAGTCAAAGGTTTCTAGACTGTCAATGTCTGCACCTCCGCGGACGATAGGACTAGAACAAATTTGGGCTCGTAGAGAACCACGTCCCCATTTATTAAGTACTGGTAGCCTTGGCATTGTTGAAGCAGGTTCAACAAGTAGTTTAAGTACCGGAGGAGCACTTAGTCCAGATCCACTGTATCAAATTGATCCTCTTAGTCTTAGTCACGATGAAGGTTACGAAGATAGTGATGATGATAGTGACCATTATGATGATTACAGTAGTGATAACGGTATTTGATATTTATAAATAATCTTTATAATATTCTGATTAAAGATACTCAATTTTATATATTTTCATATATATCAAGTAGTAAAAATAGTATATAAAATGCTATAAAATTTACAAACGTATTTCTGTAGATACAGGTGGTAGTGATGGTGAAGAACAAAATACTGGGAGTAGAGTAGGAAGTGGAAGTGTGGATTCAAATCGAGAGAGTAAACATAGCAAAAAAGAACGATATTTTTGGCAATATAATGTTCAAGCAAAAGGACCAAAAGGTCAAAGACTTGTTGCAAGAACACGTCTTGAAGACCCACATATTTTAAATGAAGCTACAGATCCTGTTTTTAGTCCACATTGTGCACTTCGAGGAATTAAACATAGTGGGAAAGCTCGAAAAGGAGATGGAAATGATCTTACTCCAAATCCACGGAAATTATATAGTATTGGACGTGAATTGGATAAATTATCCCGTATTATTAATGACATGACACCAGTTTCTGAGTTACCATTCACAGCAAGGCCTAAAACACGCAAAGAAAAAAATAAACTTGCTTCTCGAGCATGTCGTTTAAAGAAGAAAGCTCAACATGAAGCAAATAAAATAAAATTACATGGATTAGAACAGGAACACAGTTGAGTATTTGTAGTTGCATTATATTACATCATATTTGATATCAAGTAATAATATTAATCAAAATACATATTTACATTTTATTATATTATATTTACACTATATATTTTCATTATATATGTTGTTTATTTTTAAAGATTTATATAATATAGGTGTTATACAAAAGTAGTTTAGATTTATGTATATATAATCATAAAATTTATAATTTAAAAAATGCAATATAAAGAATAATATGGTATAATCTGTACCATCAGTTTGTTTAGTTTCCAAATGTTTTTAAATTTCAAAGAAAAATTTTTTCTTTTTAGTAAATATATCAAAAATAAAAAAGCTAATTTGGGTAAATAAATATTGTTGCAGGGCGTTTAATTCAAGGTATATCTCAAGCTAAACAAACACTTGCTGCAAAACTAGCAGATCCTAATCCTGAGAATCAAGAAGAATTAACGCGTCAGATGGAAAAATGCTGTAAATTGGCAACGAGTTAGTATATAATTATTACAATTATTACAATTATTACAGTTAATAATTATATTTTGATTATATTTGAGTAAATAGAATCTAACTCTTACTTTCTTAATGTATCCCAAATTTAATAATGCTACATTTTAACTAATCCAACTAATGTTACTTTTATTTCGTACTCAAAATAAATACAAAGCTTTCTTATTTAATTAATTACTTAATAACTGTATATTGTATAACTAATTTTATACTTGGTGCAATTAATTTTATCAATATCATAAAGTTTTCAAATTTATTAATTCATAATAATATTTATAGCTTATATTTGATAATATTACATAGAGATACTTTCACATACAGATACAAGTTATAGAAAATTGCAGTCTTTAATTTCAATTAGTTACAATCATAAACCATTATTTATCAATCAATCAATTCATATCAATATTATAAATAATGTGGACAATGGCAAACTAGATGTGGTTTATGTTATTTGCTTACAGTATTTTAATAAACATAATTTCATTATTTTTTAATAGAAAGAAAATAAATATTTTTTTTGGATTTGTCGTAGTTTTTGTATACTGGCAAAACCATGAATATTTTTAAATTAATACTTATTATTTTCTTATATTATATAATAATGGCTATTAAATCGAATTTAATGACAATGAGGTTTAAGGTTACTAAAATATAGAAATTAAGTGAATATTTTAAAGATTTTACACCATTACGTTTGTCGATTACGTTTATGAAATTCTATAATTGTGTACATGTACTGACATAGAATGCCTAAAATATCTATGTTTTATACTTTAACAACTTTGTATCCTATTGTGTTACAAATCATTGAATTCATTTTAATTTCGTATAATATAAAAAAGGTTACAAGATATTACTTTAAAAACTTTTGTGGTCTTGTCATTATCCAGAAACTGTAAAAAATTTATTTAGGTAATTGCCTTTTGTATAAAAAATATTTTTATTTTGTTTTTATTATTTTCTCAATTTGAGAAAAAAAAGTTGGAAACAAATAGCATAAATATCTTATATAATTGATTACAAATAAATTGAATTAAATAATTTAGTAATTATTATATAATAAATTTGTTAAATTAATTACAATATTACCTAATTGATTTTCTAAATTCTTTTACAGAAGTTTATTATCTTTTGCTTATTATCTATTGCTTATATTACAAAAACGTGTAATCTTAAACATGTGTTGGATAATTTAGAAAATGGAAATCCTATTAACAGTTTAAACAAAGAAAGATTTTATTTTCTTTTTCCCTTTGTTACAGAAATACGAATAGCAAATCATTCAACAGAATTTGTCAACAGAGTATTGGAAAAAGTACGTGCCGGTGTCCCTGATGGTGGCATTGATGACTTCTAATATGCAAGAGTTCTTTGCTAGAAATGTTCATATATGCGCATAGAAAATGCGAGGAGGAAACGATGTGTATAAAACATTAAATTCATCATAATTCATGAATCAAATGCTTCACATGGGAATTAAAAACCAAAAATAGAAAGTAAGAATATTAGTAATTTGATTTTAAATATATTCGTATTATTTAAAGTCAATTAACAAACAATAGATAATTATTATCAGTGTTTTGTAGCATTAATTGCAAATGATTTTAACATAGGATATATTTGTGTGATAGAATTGTGTTATTTTACGATGTTATTTACCAAGGGTACAGTTTTTGATTACATATTTCTTTTATATGAAGTTGTATATGTTGCACACCACTAGTTTTTGATTATATCTGTGATAATTCTGTTAAATAATTATCAATGAGTTTTTGGTATAATGTATGTAGTTCATATGAAAGCAGTACAAAAGTTTTTAACTTGCTATAACGTTGCTTGAATTTGAACATTTTTGAATGTACCATCGATTCTCTCTCGCTAAGGCGCTGCATTCCTATTTCCTATTTCTGCTCTTTTTTTTCCCCCTTCATTACTGTATATATCTTTCTTTGTATATGTTTTATATGTGTGCGTGTGTACGTGTATGTGCATATGAAGTAAAAAACAATATGCGGGATACCACAATATTATTCCATATAACATGATACAACAAAGAAAATAAGTATAGCATTATTGAAAATAATTTTTTTTTTTTTTCTTTCTTAATCTATAATGGTTAAAGTAAAGATTAAGTAAAAATCATCTATATAAATTAGATGTTTTCAATCTATGTAATAATATAATATACATAATTGTATATCTAGTGTAATATGGACTATTGCATATTTTAAATTATAATTTTAATTTATGAACATAATTCGTATCTTCTTCTACATATACATGATTTTTATACATTACTAATAACAAATTATTAATTCCAAGTTGAAGTAAAAAATTTGATAAGTTGTATAACATTTAGTATATTACTTTTTAATTTCAATTCCGTGCTTATACATATTTCAATTTGGGATAATATTGGGCGTTTGACTCAATCTTTTTTAGAACATATGCACATACTTGTTATCTTGTATATAAATCTTTCTTATAATACATGATGCGACATTTGTTATAATCACAAGGAAAGTTATAACATTTTTAGTTCTCATACAAATGAAAAAATATACTAATTTTAATAATAAACAAGATAGAATTTAAGATAAAATATCATATAATAAATAGTTTTATTTTTTATTTAAATGATAAAGAATAAAATTTTGAACTATACTAAAAGCGAGAAATGTACTGACAGATCAAGAACATTTCTCTATTAAATTCTGTTTACCTTGTATAGTGGTTTACCGAATTGTCGCAATAATTTTACGAGCGAAATTTCTGAACCTCGGGCGCATGTGTTACCATCGCTTTTATCTTTCCTTACATGGCACTATGCTCTCTCTATTTTTTATTTTACAATAGAACATTTTGTTGCTTTTTTTTACAGTATGATGGATTTATCTCACTGATAACAATATATTTAACCTCTACTATACAAGTGAATAGGATACAATATGGAAATTACAAGAACGGTTGGCAATATCAATTTTTAAACAGCTATATAGATTGTTATTTGTAAATATCTTTTTAATTCTCACTAACAGGTTTATATTTTCTTTCTGGGTGTTATTTTACATTTACAAGAAAAACAATACTTTATTTTTACAACATATAAAATATAAAAAATAGCCTATTATATCTAAGGAGCTACAAGAACATCATATATTCATGATATATAATATATTACTTAATATAATTTTGTTTTTTAGTTTTTCATAGTTTTCAAACACACGTGAATATTATACATAGTACAGTATATATTTTACAAAAGAAATTGTTATTCCTTTAAAATACTGTTTTAATGCTTTTATATATTTTTAAATATAGATATAATGAAATAATTATGGAATTAATTCAGTATATAACAATAATGAAATAAGTTTATATTCAACCTGACTTTATTTTCCAATTACAAATAATTTTGCACACTGTGTATTTAAATCAAAATTTACTAATAACGTATAAGATATTATAACCATTCTAAAAACCACTATTTAATAGTTTAATTGAATATAATATAATAGCAGTCATTGAAAAAATGAATTAGAAATCACACAAATGCAAAGTATCTTGGATCATGGTATAATATATTCATTTTGCGCTTATTTATTTTATTTACATCTTGTAAATATACTAAGCAGACAGTACTTTGTAAGATGTAAAACTACTTGTAATTTAAAAACAAAATCAAATTGGACGTGCATTCATTTTAATTAATTTCATTATCTTTAAGCGTAGAATTTGTTTCTGAACTATTTTTTATGTATTAAGTTACATCCTGTATACATCATATTTCCATATACGCGTAGATTCACGTTATAAAAGTATGACTGATTTACCCGGAAATATTGAGATATTTGAAGAATAAAGAAATGAAAATTTCTCCTATTCAAAATTATTTAATATAAAAAGAAATGACTTTTTATCTATAGAGTGATAACATCTGTTAATGAAATCTAATATTACACAAGATATCGATGACATATAACATTCAATATTATAAACGAATTAAAAATATTAAAAAATTGAAAGATTAATTTATGTTTTCATTGCATCGAATGACTGCATATGTGCACCGTTGATGTCTTTTAACTTAATATCTTTATAATATATTTAATAAAGCATAGCGACTTGTTCAACGGAATTAAACTGATACACTTATAGTAGTCAGTTTTTATATAAAAAAGAAAATCTTTTGCATCTTTGATTATTTACGAAATGTTGCAATATTTCCAGATAAATTTGTTATATTGTATACGCATTAAAATTAGGTATGATTTAATATTAACAGATACGCATATTTATGATTTTATTTGTTAGTATATAAAATTAATATTAATGTTTCAATAGTTTTCCAAAGAATTATATAAATTGTTTTCTTTTTTCTCTTTTTTTTCTTTTTTTTCTTTTTTTTTCATTTTTTTCATTTTCTTTTTTTTTTGGTATTCATAATTTCTTTGTTTTAATTTATATTTATAATTTATAAAATACTCTTTATCGTTTGCACGGATATACTAGTAGAATGTGCTCTCAAATATATATTTTTATGACTTTTATAGAGTTCAATTAATCAATACTATTGTAAACAGTTGCATATTGATGTAATTATAATTGTGTGATATGAATGGTGGAAAAGTAATTAGTATATTTTAAGCATAAGTATCATAAAATATGATAAAATATTAATCATTGTTAAAATTTAATTTATTCGGTTAAAAGATTATTTCGTTTAATTAGACTTGAAAATATTTCCGTTATTTTTAGATCTGTGAAAGAATATGCAAATATTAAATGAATTAGTTACTTGCAGAATTATCTCCACTAGTTAATATCAAGTTTAGTAAAGAAACAGGATATTTATAAGAAAAATGTCCCGAGGTGTAAGATTGTCTTTTAAATGAAGTTTTGTAATGATAAAATTCGAGATATTACAAATATCGATGTGTGGTTGCGAGGGTCAACGTAATAGTTTACGAGATATATAGGGTTAAAATTTTTATACCGCTTTATCTTTTTAAGCGTAAATAATATTCTTAGTTAAGCCGTAGTTCTTAGGATAAGGTGTTTGTGTTAAATAGAGTACCCTTTTCTTTGAGATATTTTTTTATTCATTGTATAAATATGTCATTAATTGCATTAATGTTTTAAATTTAATTTTTGTGTAAATATCTTGTTATATATAACCTTTGTTACTAACATTTCTGTTGTAATCAATGTATAAAGAAAAATGAAAAGAAAGTAAGAATTTTAACATTAAATATCTCGTAAATACTTTTTGCTCGCAAAATCATAAATATTATTTTCAGTGTAATATTATTTTAGCCTTGCACTAATTACTAATTAATTGTACAAAATTTCATTTGAAAGTGAAATTTAAAATTCAAAATCTTGTTGAAGTCCTTTCATATTAGCGATTTCTAAGTGATGATACATTACAAACTACACGATATTAAGCGGAATATTATTACGGACGAGCTGATTTATATTAACGAGGTAAAACGAAAAAGGATCAAAGTTTAGAATAACTGTGTAAAAATTGTTTTTTCATCGGTTATGGGTAGACACAGATACTGGGCTATGAGTCACTATTTCATTGTTATTTATTATTCGTTATAAGTTTAGCAGCTTTGCGAGTGAATTCTAATTTTTATTTTCTTGTAATAAAAATGATTCGATGGTGACAAGTTATATTTTATTCTTGATCTAAGAAAGAATTTAACTGTGTCTTGTCTGTAGTCTTGACCAAATCGTTTTTAATTTCGTGATAATACATCCGAATTATCGTAATGTGTCAGTATGATAATTACAAATTTCAAGAAGATAGTAAAGAAATAATACATTTATTTGGGAAATAATAAGTGTAATTATTTTTGCGATTAAGCATTTTATATTTGAAACTTTTGCATATTAATACATTAATATATTAATATACGTGAATATATAATTACATTGAGTTTTATATTTTTTGAATTTTTATATTTTGTATTATATCTTTTTTCAATTGTTACCAGTAGATTTACTACCTTGACGTGAATTATGATTTCTAGTGTACTCAATTTCAATCCAGAATCATGTCTCCGGTGTTTCCATTGAAATCTTTAAAGCTAATAAATTTCTATTTCGCAAATATTTCTTACTTTTTGTAGAAATAGCTTCTTCACGTAATTATCAATTTCTTCCGGTTTGTATTCGACATAAAGCAAATTATCCTGCCTAAATCGATGAAATATTATACATAACTTGTCATGTAGATAGAAATGATATTTGACACAGACAATCGCGTCAACAATCCCTATATTTCAGTTTCTGACATTTCTTGGGAGACCCCCTTTGAAATTTGTAAAAAAAACATTTTAGCAACAG